AAACCATCCTTGTGGGTGCGGTGTGATTTACTTCATGACTTTCCGCTTTATAGAGTGGATATAAATGCCTGTTTCTACCAAAATGTATTTAAATTAATGTGTCCGTAGATTTTTACCTCCAGTATTAGTTATTATTGTATGATTAGTCAAATATAATTTAATAAATATAACACAAAATATTACTTCAATCTTTTCATACAGTGAAGCTATACTTCTTTATAACTCCAAAATTACGGAACTTTATTTAAGTGAAGGTACGAGTCGCGATTGTATAAAACCTTTTGCTTTTAATCTCTTATATTTGTGAAACTTATTTTTTGCCTTAAGTGTTAGGAAAACAACTTAATTATATATATATTTTTGAATATTCACGTTTTTATGGGAAAACTAATTAAGATTTTTTTGTAGGTCTTTTGAAGTTATTTAATTAAAAAATAGAAACTAAATAGAACCCCGAGTTCGAAGGAACGTGAATGTTAAATTAATTAAGTATTAAAAAATAAAAAGTAAATATTCGTGAAGTATTAAAGTTAGCCATATACGGGATGTTTATAACCCGAAGAGTAAATTGAGCTCTCAGAAACCTAGAACTTCTTCAGGATGGGAGTATTAATTACCTTTCTCTCTGTGTGTATTTCCGTCTCTCTCTCTCTCCTTCTCATCTCTAACGATCTCTCTTTCTTTTTCTTTTTCCCCCTCCCTTTCGCTCTAAAAATAATACCTGAGTCCCTAAAATATGAAGAGGTTACGAAAGTAAACTGAACCGATATACGACATAAAGAGCTGATTGGATTCTTCAGAAAATCACGTCATTGTGTCCAGAATACAGCTGAACGATGTTTCCCTGCTATTTGAGGGAAATAAGCTCTATATATATTTATGTATAACTCTAGGATTCTTCAGAGAAATACGTCATTGTGTCCAGAATACAGCTGAACGATGTTTCTCTGCTAATTGGAGGAATAAGCTCTTTATACTTTTATATCTCTTATAAAAATTATCCTTAAACAGCACATCCTGTTTTAAAAATTTCCAAGTTAACACTTTTGAAACGTGTACTTGATAAAAAATATATTCAATTAAATATCTCTCTCGGAAATACTTTTCTTCTCTTCCATCTAAGATGTAAATTTCGGTTCAATGTATTACTCTTCCTTGAATGATGCTTCTAATTGTTATTCGCTAACAAACGGACAAAAAAAGAAAAGTTGTGAAGTAATTTAATTACATGGGAATAGTTTATAATCATGAGACCCTCAATATATATTTTTCTTTATAGAGTTGAAGTAGTTCTTAAATAAAATCTTCACGAATAGGAAAAAGAATACGCTGTAATTTCTAAAAGACATTAATCATTTATTTATTTTTCTTAAACTTAACAAGTTTATTTTTTCTTATATTTTTTTGTCATATATTTCAGAAAATGTTCAATTTCAAGACTACCCACTACGCATAATTTTTTTTTTAAATTTTATAAACCAATTGTCCATTCAATTGCGGGGGCCGACGTTGGAGCTGGTGTACACAGTCCTGCAAGTCTCAGATAGACACTTCTGGTGTAGAGGTGTGTGGTACGGCGCTGAGTGCTGTTGAAAGACATACGACTTTCCAGCTGTCCCAAGAGCCACTACACCATAAATGTATAAACTATGAGTACTTTTGGCTCATTATTTCGGCAGTCTATTTCAATTACTACTATCATTTACAAGAACTCTTGAATAGCTCAACTTCAAATTCAGTTAGTGCATAATTCAAAAAAAAAAAAACGTTTTATTTTTTAATGTGAATCTACCGGGATACAGTGATGTATGAAATATGTTATGTTATTCAGCATTGTAGTAGTTTTTTGATTCCATTTCTAATCCAAATAAACTCTATAATTGTATTTCACAGCCGCTCAAATACTTCTACTGATACATAAATATCATTAGTAATATATTTAAATTATCATTGGTTTTTCAGAAGTAGAAAGCAAATTTTGCCCAGAAGGTGAAGCAAACCACTTTGCCGTTAAGCAGCTACAGGTTTGAGCCCTGCACACCGGACCACCGAAGATAATTCAGCAATAGACACTCTTAACATATATACATTATTCATGAGTAATAAACATCTTTGTCCTGTCAAACAACCGATTGAGGTTCTCGTCTTATTTGTGTATATTAAATATATTAGGGCTGTTCTTATTTTTCAAATGTTTGAAATGTTAGCAACATTGTGGATTTTCTGTTTCTTGGTGATAAAAGAAGACGACATACAAAGTTTGAACAAAATCGGTCAATATACGAGGTCGCGCAACGAGGTCAAAGTTTTAAAAATTTAGTAAAAAATATAGTTTTCCGTGCAAATTTCTTGAAAGTGGTGGACGTTACAGACTTCAACAATAATTATTAGTTTAAAGGAAATTTATTTTACTACCAGACGTATGTTTGATGTTTTTTATAAAACAAAGTTGTCAGTAAAAACAAAGAAAAAATGGAGTGTGTAATGTTAGCATATTTCATAGCTTTTTTGTATCAATTAACTTCACTCGCCTGTAGAAGATGACTTGTTCGCTTCAGAGTAAAATAGTATTTTTAAGTTTAGTAAACTTTTAGATGATAAATCCAAAAATGACCTTGGTTGCATTCTATCAATTCAGAATTCAGTACAATCTGGGTTTACATCATATGATTCAGAGCCTGTATTGACCTATAAGAAATCGATTATGAAAAAATAATATATAATGTTTTCTTAGATTTGCGTCAAGGTATCCTCTCAAAATTTTACTTTGTCTCTGACGCATTTATAATCCATTATATGCGTCATTTTGTACGCGAGATATGCTTTTTTAAATGTAAATATAACTCTCTACTTATTAAACTGACATGAGTTAGTATACCAAAATATTAAACTGGTGTACCAAGCTTTCATTTGGTATGTTTGATGTTCTAAAATCGCTATACTTTAAGAGATATAAGCAAATACATTTTTGCACGTACTCTCCCCAAAAAAATGATCTTTTGATATGAGAATTACAATTACCACTTGGTAACGGCTGTTAGTGTTACCTGGATAGAAAGAGAAAGAGAAGGGAGAGAGTATTTTGGCTCACTTCTCTCCCTTCTTTTTTTCTTTCTCTAACTCCTCCCCCTCCTTTGCTTTTTCTTTTTTACTCTCTTTACCTTGAAAAGTAGGTAGTTCAAATCAGACAAGGTCTGATTTTTTCTTCATTTCTGGTCGCATCACTTGGAAATAGTTTTATTAGGTCCGACTTGACCCAAGATTCCATAGATACCTTCAAAGTTCAAATCTGACCATAAATGTGGGAGGAGATAGTGTGCGGACGTACAGACGGACAGAGATTGGTGAATTAATATATAGATAGATTACAAAAAAAATACCTTATAATCTTAACATGCAGAGCATTAAATTTCAAACATAAAATTATTACACTAATAAAACTTAAATGTAATTTTGACACCATGTTGATTTGGTTTTTGATCGTCCCGTAATTGCAATAAAATAGTTATTCCTAAATGCATGAATATTTATGTTAATAGAATCAAACAATATAAATGATCCGGAATTCTTTAAAGGCAAATTATTGTCCTTAATTTCTAAGAGGCCGACTATTATTGGTGGAGTCTATGAAGAAAAAAAACTTCCACACTCTTTGCTCCAATAGGGTTCTTTGAAGCTAGTATCTCGCAGAAATAGGTATCTAACCTGTGGTCCATCAACAACATCATATTCTTCACTTATTGCTGTTTGGATCAGTACAGATCTTGAACAAAACCACTTAGACCTGCCTGTTCAAATGGTGACGACTGCAATGAAGTCAAAATATTAACATCCGTTATCATCTTTTGAACTGCTTGAATCTTTTCTCAACAAGCTAGACAAGCAAAAAAAAGTAATACTTATGCACAATTAAAAGCAGATCTTTGTACTGATGAATTCCGGGTAGATTACAGCATATTTTATTTTGGAATTAAAACCATTGGTGTTAAGCATAAAAAAGTAACAACCAGCAAGATAGTCTTTCAGCTCAAGCCAAACAATTGGGACTCCAAATTGCGTTTGGCATTTTGTCCTTTCGACCAGTTACTCCATACACAAATTTATGAATCAAAACTTACCAATTTTTTAGGCCAATTTCCGTAAACCGGACGAATACTTCAAAATGGAAATAACAATCTTCAACCTTACGACACATAATAGCAATCTCAACTATTTCAAGCAGCCGAATAACAAACTAAAAAACGTCACTAATGCCTAATATTAAGGGGTGAATCATAAGACAGATATTTATTCGTGACGTAATGTCATCGGAATCATGGCAAATACTTATGCTGAATATTACCTCAAAAATAAGTTTTGCAAAGAAAGACTGATATTTTGTTAATATTCTGAAAACCAGTTGAAAAGTGACAATTTGATTGTAACAGAAAACAAACTTAAGCCTATTTACTACTGCTTATCGAGTAGCATTGCCACGTTTTATTTGCTAAACCAATTTGCGCTAACGGTTGTGCACCAAACTGTAATTTTTTTTTAAAGGAACATTGAGTTTGTTCATATATATATATAAAATAACCACAATAATAATGGACTTATTTACCATTACGGAATCTGCTTATAGATCTTACTACTCCATTTCTTACAAGTTCGAAGCTCCTATTTGCTTGTTCTTACTTTATTTATGTATAAACAGCATTTATTTTATTGGCTGATGAAAGCAAATTATTTATATCAAACAATTTTATTCAAAACCGTCATATGGAGTAAAGGTAAAACTTGACATAATCTTAGGAAAATAATACCAAATTTAGATGGAAACCCTCAAATTAGTGAAGTCAATTATTTCTACGCAAAAAAATGCGTAAAGGTACATAAGGAATAGAAGTCGTTTCCCCACTTTATTTAAGCTGAACCTAAAGACAACTTTTATATTCTATATTCTTAATAATTGATAATTTTCTCTTTCGAATAATATAAATTTTGCTTCAAATATACTATAATATCATAAGACTTAATGTACTTTACGTAGAACTATATGTTTGCCTTACAAAGTCGTGTTTAAAGCAAAACAAAAGGGAATCAAAGAATAAACGAGCCACTAACTATACGAATAGTAAATATCTTCCTCCATCTTTTGTTCATCAACAAAGTTTTCAAGGGATAGAGTTTTTCATATTAAAAAAACCATGCAATATGTTTCATATTAAAAAATATTTGTTTGACATTCAACAAACGATTTCTTGACTTTAAAGCTGCTTTTCTTTATTTGAAGCAATATAAGTTGAAATAAAGCCCCAGGCACCTGAATCACTTCAAAGAATGAAATATATAAATAAAGAAAAGGAATTTAAGAAGACTATCCTATATATAAATATGTTTTAATTAGTTTTTTACTGAATTCATTATATGTATATGGATTAATGTTATAAATAAGAAACCAATTTTTCCCCATACATATTGATATTTTTTTGTTATTATATAAAATAGGATCTGGACTACCGATATTAAGTTTATTCGATAATAGGCGCCAATAGTTTACTTATATACCATTGGTATCAGCTAACTTTGAGACGAATATTTGCTTGTTATATATATATATATTGAATTTTATAAAAAAAATTTAAAATATATATTTCAAAATATTGTATATTTTATTTGAGGGCTTTTTAATATATTTTCATTTAATTAAATAAAAATAATAATTTCGTAGTGTCATGGACAGCACCGTACTTCAAAAAGAGACTGCGAAAAACGATTTGCTTTTAATTGCATGTTGCAAGAAGTGACAATAACATGTTTAACATACGATATGAAGTTATTTATATAATTTTGTGTGACTTTTGAAATGCATTTTGCCCTCAATCGTTGACAAAAACAGTAAAATAGATTAAAATATGGGCCAAATTCAGCTAACGTTTTTTTCTAGAGAGCAAAATTATCGGTATTATATTGTCCTAAACAATCTGCTATCAGGCGAGAAACCCTTACTTGGGACTATTATCTCATTTGATAAACAAATGTTCTACTTTGATGATCTGAAGAGATATGTAATCAAACAATTTATTAACTAAGATAT